CGAGCATAGAAGGATTGGAAATTTTCTTCAATCTGCGTTGGCCACGAATCATTGACATAAGTCATTATGCGGCTTAAAAGAAGATCATTTCTGGTTGCCTCACAAATTTGTAGATAGTCCGTGGGAGATCCGCCCTCCATGAAATGCAAATATTCAACATCAGCATCGTCTTCCATTTCTGAGGTAGATATGGGTAAACGTGACAATCCATCAGCTCCACCATTTTCGCTGCCTTTTACATATCGCATTTCGTAATTGAAATCCGACAAAAATATGGCCCATCGCTGAAGTCGACCTGCAGTCAGGACTGGAATGCCTTTTTTTCGCCAAATAAGGCTAGCAATGGTTTGTGATACGAAGCTAAAATAAAACGTCGTCCTACGAGATATTGACTAAACTTCTTCACGCCCCAATAGATGGCTAATGCCTCCTTGTGAATCACAGAATATCCTTTTTCTGCTTTGGATAAGACTCTTGAAACAAACGCTATAGGCCTCTTAGCTCCATCCAGATAAATGTGCAACAACACTGCTCCAATTCCATATTGCGAAGCATCTGTTGCTAATTTTACTGGCATAGTTGAATCATAATGAGCTAGAACAACATCTGATTTCAGGATGGATTTGGCTTTCTTGAAGCTCTCTTCACAGTTACGGTCACATTGAAAGGTTATGTTTTTCTTGAAAGGTTATGTTTTTCTTCAGTAATTGATATAAAGGCTCTAAAATTTCTGGTAGATTAGAAATGAATCGCCCATAATAGTTTACCATACCTACAAAGGCGCGTACTTGCGTAATATCAGTTGGTCTAGGTGCCTCTTCAATGGCTTGAATCTTTTTTTGATCCATGTGCAATTCTTTAGCGTCGATGACATGACCGAGAAAATATAAGTTGTTTCTAAAAAATTCGCACTTGTCCATATTTAATTTAAATCCAGCTTCTTTGAGTCGAGTTAAAACTGCTTTCAAATTAGATAAATGCTCCTTCTCGGTTTTTCCAGTGATGAAAATATCATCAATGTATATGACTACTTCTCTGAGGTCCCGTAATACATTTTCTGCCTTCATTTGAAATATGGCACTCGTAGGTTTCGTACCAAAAGGTAAACGGTTTACAAGAAATATACCTTTATGAGTGCTCCATGTTAACAATTCACGTGTACTTTGATCTAATAATAGTTGATTGAATGCATTCTTGAAGTCTAGCTTAGTAAATTTTTATCCTCCCTGAACTGCAGTAAAAATTTCTTCTATCTTGGGCAGCGGATAATTGATGTCTTCTAGATGTGGATTAACCGGCTATAATTGGCACATAAACGCAATGTTTTATTAGCTCTTAATACCGGAACTAAAGGTGTGCCCCAACGTGAACTTTTTTTTTCTACTTTAATAATGACTCCCTGTTTTTCTAGCTTTGTAAGTTCTGCCTCCACTAAATCACGAAACGCAAAAGGGATTGGTCTTGATTTGCAAAAAATAGGTGATACATTGTCTTTAAGGCTTAATTGAATTTTTTCATATTTGTATGTACCAATATTAGGGTCAAAAACATCTGCAAACTCTGTTAATAAATATTGGAAATAAATTGGGATTGCAATCCCAATTTATTTTCAATATTTTTGTCGCATTTGAAATTGATAGCAGATAGCCTAACTTGAAAATTTTTAAACATTTTAAACGCTGACATTAAATCGCGGCCTAACAATGGTCTACATTCGCTTTTTACAATCAATAATCTCGCAGGTGCAAAGCATTTACCGAAATTTTCCGTTACAAAAATTTCACCTACCGGAGTGATAATACTACCATCATATATCTTTAATTTAATATTTGATGATTGCAGTGGGATTTCTTTAAATGTATTTTGATAAATGTTATAGGACAATACAGACATGCCAGCACCAGAATCCACTTCCATCACGATGAGTTTACCGTTGATTTTTATGGTAGCTTTTATTGGTTCAATGGCTGACTTACAGTTATTTAAACTGAACGTTTCAGTTATTTCCTCCTCTGAAACTTCTGACTTCTCTGCTTGATCGGATAAATAATTTGCTACAGCCTCAGTCTTTTTGCATACCTTAGATGTATGTCCCATTTCGTTACATGTTTTACATTTGTACTTTTTATACCTGCAATTAGAAAAATTATGATTGTTGACCTGTTAAAGAAGAAATGTCTCCTTTGGGTTTGGCTTTTGTAGATGCAGTTGCGATATTCTTTTTGTGCCTATTTTGGAATTTTTGTTTGGTATTTAGTTTGTGAATGGAAGCAGACATCTCACTTAAAGCAGTCTCCTTTTTTAGTGCTAATTCCTATAATTCTTGGATTGTTTTTGTTTCCGCTTCTTCACATAATCTATCTAAAATTTTTCCGGACGATAATCCACTAACAAAACGATCACGCAGAACATTGTTTAAATCGCTGCCAAAGTTACATAAAGCAGCTAAGCTTTTGAGGCATGCATAATACTTAGCAATGGGTTCATCCTGCGTTTGTTGCATCTTGTAGAATTCTATGCGTTTTCGCCACACTGACGTTCTTGGTGAGAATTGAACGTCTAGTAATTTGCATAATTCGTCAAATGTTTTCGATT